TACTGAATGGCAACACGCTGGCACGTGAATGATAAAAATATTTTATTTTCACCCGCGGCAACACGTTGCTTTCATAGAACAGAAAAAACTGAAAGAATGGCAACGGCCTCACACGCTGGAAGTAAAAATGTTTTATTTCGAACAGTGTTGCCACTACTCGCTTTCAGTTCGTTGAGTTTCTTAATCGAAAATTAATTAAAGTTTTGAAAAATATAAAATAAATAATAAAACAAATTGGAAATTCAAAATTCGGGCTTCTAAGTGCATATATTCGGGTGGACAGCTTCGTTATTCAAAGGTTGATACCGTTGTTTTATTATTGGTAGAAACCGTTTTTTTTTTCACAGTGCGAGGAACATATATACATACATGCAGATTCTTCATTATTTAACTTCTTTAAAAATAATGCAAAGGGATGATATCTGTTGGCAAGAATTAGAAAAGTGATTCACCGTTTATAGTGAGCCAACGAAAAAAAAAAAAAAAAAAAAAAAAAAAAAAAAAAAAAAAAAAAAAAAAAAAAAAAAAAAAAAAAAAAAAAAACACCTAATTTCGAGTTTCGAGACTAATATCTCCCTTTGTGCTAAAAAAGAAACAAAAATCTTAACTATATGTCTCTTTGAAGAGCAAACTTAAAACGAAAATGTGACAAGGCAGACGTTTTTAAGAAGAATTAACCAGAAACTGAAAATACAGTATAATCCACATGCTACATTTTCAGATTTCATTGTTTGATCTTTTGCCATTCCAAACCATTTTTGACTAAATTTGAAGTTATGCAAAACCTGCAAGTTGATTGCCTAGAGTTCATTTCAGCAAGACAGCATCTGTCCTCATGTCTGCTGAAATGAACTGTAGTCAATCAAAGTACTTTCTAAATGCATTTCGCGTATTTTGGAAAACATGTTATGGCGAAGTTACACTAATCTGAACTTTAGTATAGTAGTATTATTTTATAGTAGTATTTTTTACAGTAAAAGCTATAAATCAGATTAAGTGTATACAGCATAAAATCACTAATGTTGGCGCCATGGCATTTCCTAGACAAGTTCAGTTCATGTACTTCGTTAACTTAAGTCAACGTCAGTACTTTAGTTCCAGCAATAAAATTTAATGTTAAAAAACAGTGCATTACAGTACTATGAAACTGTAGCACTTTTGAGAATAAATTAATGCCACTTTATTTTAATACAGATGGATCATTTATAATAAAAATTTTCTTACTTGGAATAATGGAAGATATGCTGTAAAATATGTCAATTGAAAATTCTGATTACAAGAAAGTAATAACTCAGTTAATTTATATTTAAATAATCTTGCTCCTAATTATGCAAACATTATGCTGTATCGAATACAAATTGAGATATGCCACTCTGGAACCGAGAAGATAGATACGAAAGACAGTTAATAAGAATCAAGAGTTGACCTTATGATGCTGAGAAGGAAAGCGATATAAAAAATATAATGCTTTTAAATTATCGTACAAATGCTAGCAAAATTTCATTACTTTAAATGAGAAATTTTAAAGTATGGTTCTTGATGTATTTCCAAATCGAAATTTAACAGTCGCAACTTCTTTTTCTTAATGATTTTCCAACATTTTATACCCAATTTGACATTCCCTGGCTTCCTTACTTCACTCTTATCTGGGCTTATAATACAATTTTTTTTATTATTAATGTTTCAGTTTTTAAGTTGAAACTTGAAGAAAGCTTTTTTTATTAAATGCGTTTTTGTGATTTATAAAATCAGTAATTTGTAGAAAATTTGTAGCTGCTATAAGGAATGATAATTTTGTTAAGGATAGATTATCAGCCTATAATACGCTCCAAAAACAAATATAAAACATCACCGAAAAAACGCTACAATAGCTCTAAATAATGCTGACAGATGTTGTTTATTGAACATTTCATCTTCCTGGTACCTTGAAGACAATAACGATCGAAAGAAGAAAACGGGAAGAAAACGGGATCGCTCAAATCTCGTCAAATATATCAAACAGAGCAACTCCACAAGAAATATACCTCAGGAGTCCACCCATTATTTAGTAAAATCTTCAATCAAGATTGGGTCTGCCTTTCAGAAAAGAAGCTTATGACGTGTTTTTGGCATCAGAACTTTGATCGTAAACTCATACTTGAAACCGAAAACAGAACAGAATGAACAAAAGAATATTTAACCACTAGAGGTCTTGTTGCGTGATACAGCTAACTGCTGATATTGGAATCTGTAAATCTGAGTACCTTTCATCGTGTCAGTGATTTCGTCAGAAGTAAGACTATTCTAACGGAGTATCAATTTGGATTTGTGGTTGGCTATTTCATTTGCAACGAGTATAGCTTAGGATAATTGAAGAAATAAGGAGGATTTTCATTCATAAGAAAACAAATGATGGTTTTCTCGATGAGGTTTTTTGCATAAATTAAAAACCTCATAGAGAAGAATTTTCAAACTCTCTCACCCAAAATAATTACAGATTATCGAACGGGATATTTAAAACAAAATACAGAAGCGTACCCAGATGCAGCATTTGTCAAGGCTGTAGTGACATAATAGCTGTCAAGGCTGTAAGCATAAAATTCTATTTCGAGTCTGATTCTCTTTAATTTTTATATCAGGATTTCCTCTAGAAAATTCTCCAGCCTGGCATCCCTATCTTGAGGTCCCAGTGTGCTTTTCACTCTAAAGCTGTAGATAGTAAATAACAACGACGGACCAGTCTATATAATTTTCCAGTATATTATCATGTTAACATAAGGGCGTTCACTTTTAACTTAATACAAACTCAATAATAAACATTTAGAATTCTAGAAATAAGGGCAGATTTTCCCGCTACGAAATGAGACAATTTGTCCTTTCATCTACCTGTCATAGAAGTACAATTAATGAATGAATTAAATATATTTTTAAATCCGTTTCAAATTCTGCCTATTGTTGCAATTTTATTTTTGTTAAATATTATAGTCATTATTTTGTATGTCTGATTTATCAAGTAAATCATAAATAAACTATCGTTTGATCTCGTTCAATTAACTTTTTAAGTGGATGTCTACGCTGAAAAATGAAAAGCTCATGCAGTGGCCGGACAGTCACAATTCAGATAATCCAATACAATCCAATCAAAGACTTCGCAAACGGTAGGAAAAGTAGAAAGTATACTGTTAACGCAGTATTGCCTATCAGCTGCTTTATTTTTATAAAGACCAATGATAGTGTTCCGAGATTCTCTTACCTAAGCAGAGCATTGATATTCAATGCGGAGGTTGCAGAAATCAACGTAAGCAAGAATTAAATCATTCTCTTCAGAAGGCATTAACTTTATAAGCAATATGATTTAGAATAGCATGTCACATTCGCTGCCCGCGATCCGCATGCAGCCTTTGACTGATTTTTTTTTCTGCAGCCGTCCGTTCATTTCGAGAAATAAACAAAAATGATATAACTGTAATATATTAATAAAAGCTGGAATGGGGCATGTATACAGTCTTGGCTATTAAGAGAAACTCTTGAACTGTTCTCTTCACAAAAATATTTTCTCAACCAACCTTGAGAAATCTAAGTGCATTTAGAGATGTTAAATTAACATAAATTTAGTGTAACTCAACTCTAAACACAGAATTTCAATGAAGTGGGCATTCCCTAATTTTACAAATATTTGCTTTAAGAATGCTGTAAACTTTGCATGCTACAGAATTTTCATATTTGATAGTATGTACCAGTGTGAACAGCTTTTCTTACAGATGAAGATGAACAAATTCTCAGTGAGATCTAAGTCAACAGACATCCATTTAACTTCTACAGTTTGCCTCCAGACATCCGAAAGCTTCTTGCTGGTAAAAGATGCCAGGTGTCAGAAAAAGAGCAATTGGTATTATCCCCTATCCGAGTTTCTTTACGATCCTTGTACTCTTTTATAAAGAAGTACATTTTATTAGGGAAGATCTGATGTGTTTACTCGTTTTTTCCCTCGACATCATTAAGTATGAAAATGGCCTTTTGTTTCATGCTGCGCACAGTATTGTATTCTGATTACTGTTTGGTCCCCTTGAGATGCGGAATTATATCTGCTTTAGATAAATAATCGGGTACTTCTCCATGCTGCCAGTGAAATCTCGGAATGTTCCTAACTGGAAGTATATGCTTTCAGGCTCAGATTCGATTAGCTCTTCCTCTACATTTGTAATGTATAGGAAAAGCTAATTTGCTGTCAATGTTGCAATATTCTACTACGCATCGAAATTCGGCTATCATTCCAAATCTTTATAAAAATATGGTCAGTTTTTGTCAATGATTCTTTGTTTTGAATTTTAACAATTTTAGCAGCAAAAACGCATAGAAAATACTTAAATACTTGCAAGTTTTCAAAAGAGGATTCATTGGGTATTTCTTAATATCCCCTGGGTTTTAAAGAACAATAAAATTCATAAGGATATAAAGTTCAAATGTACGGTTATCTTTATTTTAGGATGTTGATTTGTTTTTTGGTTGTAGGTAATTTTTCCTTAGAAATTATTAAACGTTAAAGAGACACGATCCGTGAGAGTATTAGATGTATCTTCAAGTAATTTAGAACTATTGCTCTGTATAGTAATTATCAAAAAAAGCTTTTCAGCAATGCCCTGCTCTTTAATTTTTCATATATGCATATCTTTAAGCAATGCTAAAAATACCACTCAGTGTGCTGCGACTTGTCTAATAAATTATGACCTATAATCCTGCACAATTAAACTGCTTATTTTTCGCCCTGGAGTATGCCATTATTTCTGTAATGAATGTAACAGTTCAATAATGAATGGGTATTTTCCTGAACAGCAAGTCGAAAAATACTAAAAGAGCAATCATATCATCAGATAATAAAGTATGAGTTTATCTTATGCATAAAAAAAGCATATTTGCTAAATATTTGATGAATGATTAGTTTTCATAAAGTTTTCTATGTCTTTTAAAACATGGAATTTTGCAACAAGATATTAAAAAAAAATAATTCAGGAAAACCTTACCCCGGCTGCAGCCCAAGCGTCATCTCTACCACCTTTGACAGCAACTACTAAAGCTGCGATCATGTAAAAGAGGGTCCATGTGGCCCCGTACAGAAGTTCCTAAAATAGAAAAAGCGTAATTATTTAACGACCTCTGTTGCAAAGAGTTTGATATTCGCGTATATTTGAGGATCACATTTGTCAGTAGCAAAGACAATATTTTATTCAGATATGTTAGTCATAATTTATGCAGGTATTTGAGCCATAATACAAACATAATCAGTGATTCCTTAATTCCTCTCTTAGTTATATGTTTCAAGTTGTTAAGATAACGCAGGGTTGAATGCCAGAATTCCTTTCATGTTATTAATCCATTAGCGATGTACTAATGGAAAAATACAATAATTAAATAATATAATATGACTATGATTTGAACTAATTGGGATCATATGCCATCCACATAATCAGAAAATTTGGGTAATTGGATCATCTTTTCTTTCTTCTATCCACATACGTATTTATTACACATTGAAAATGAGGGAAATTTTTTATTTCACTTTTAGAGTTTTACTAACTTAAAAATAATATTTATAGTTTCATAAAATAAAACGGAAAGTACACTACTTTCCAAAAATTAATTTTGAAATAATTACTATTTTATTTGCTTAAGCTTAGCGAGCTATAACTTTAAACCTTCTGCGCAGTTACAGGTAATAGCACAACTGTGAACCAGTTGATTACGGTAAATCACTCGAGGGTTATCTGCTTAAGGGGAGGGATGCCTTCGTAGAGGACTTTCTAAGGGAAACTGGCTTGTATACTCGTTACATATGGGTAAAAACACGAAAATGCCCATGCACCCAGATTCATACCTCAGTTTGAATAAACAGTATTCAGCGACTTTACCTCTCTGCCGCTGGTAGGCCGGTAATAGCACGAACGATACCTTCTATGCAGGACAGGACTTGAATAAGTGTACAAGACACTAGGACTTTGTATCATGTGGTGATGCAAGTTGTTATTGTTGTTGTTATTTCAAGGGTTGAGAAAACCCGCTCTTTCCTGGCCGAAACAGTTTCAGCCATCAGGCCATAACAGGGGCCAACCCAGCATACAATAAGGGAGAACAGCGAGCCAGCCATGTTCCATCAAATTATACAATCAAATCAAAGTACCTATCGCTATTACCTTTTTTACTTTACAAAATTGACCATTTTCATTTTCTCGAAGATCAAATTTCTTAAAATATTCTGAGAATTGTCCGTGAGCAGTAATAATTTGGTTTATGTCTCAAAAGTCTGATATAACCGTTATTTTTTTTCCAGACGATTCCCAATTTTCTTTCTATTCCACAGATTATTTCCATTTTCACAATATTTAACAACTTTCTTTTTGAATACAACACTTCAATATCTTTCTTTCTTAGGCCTTGAACAGCTTCCTTTGCTAGCGTGTCCGCCCTATCATTACCAATACAGTAGACTCCCGATTATCCGCGCCTGCCGCACAAAGGTTTTTTTTTACAAGCGTAAAGCAAAGAAAATAAAAATGTTCACAAAACTGAGCGAAACGTTAAATTTGCTAACATCGTGCTTTGCAAAAATATCCCAGGCCTTCTCAGAACCTTCCCCTTGTCCCCTCTGATGAGTAAGTGATTTCTTACTCACCCTTGCAGTGCCCGCTCCACCGCTCTCTCTCTCTCGTCTTAATCTTACTGACACGTCCACTTCCTCCCACTCGCCATTGTGAGTTTAAGCCTGATAGTGTTTGCGAACCGGTCCGAGTTAATTTCTTATCTTTTATTGTGTTCAGTGCTTGTGCTTTTTGGTTTTGTGTTTTTCGTTACCGATTTAAAATGTCAAGAAAACGAAAGAAGGTTGTGTTGACGATTGGGCAAAAACTAGAATTAATTTCCAAAGTAGCAAACTGCGCTAAAAGGCAGCAGATGGAACTGGATTACGGAATCGCGGAAACAACAGTGCGTGACCTTCTAAAGCAAAAAGACAAATTGGTGAACTTTGCATGAATGTCGGACAGTGCTTCCGCAATGAAAATGCAAAAAACTATGAAGGGTTCTACCTTTGATGAGCTACACACGGCTGACATAGTGGTTAGCTCAAGTTCGAAAAGAGGGTACTCCTGTAAATGGTCCTATTATTGCGTCGAAGGCAAAAATCTTTTTTGAGTTGTTAGCCTGAAAGGAAATTTTGATGCGTCTTCTGGCTGGTTGACTCGTTTTAAGCAGCGACATGGAATTCGAGAAATTGGACTTCATGGGGAGAAACTTAATGGTGACCAACAAGCAGCCGACGATTTCCACCATGAATTTGAAGAATTTGTTTTAAAAGAAGAGCTATCTTTCGAACAAATTTACAATGCCGACGAATCGGGACTTTTGTGGAAATGTCTTCCCACTCGCACTTTAGCATTTGAAAATGAAAGTAAAGCGGCGGGTTATAAAAGCATCAAGGAAAGGATCACTATCATGTCTTGCAGTAATGCTACCGGTGGACATAAACTTAGACTTGTTGTCATTGGAAAGTCAAAAAACCGAGATCTTTCAAAGGCACAAGGATAGAAAATTTGCCCGTTGATTATTTTAACAAAAAAACAAAAAAAAAAAAAAAAAAAGGATGGATGGGACCGAAACATTTTTCAAGAATGGTTCGAAAACATCTTTGTTCCTCAAGTGCGTAAACATCTTAAATCGAAAAACCCTGCCTGAAAAAGCTGTGCTATTGAATCGACAATGCACCTTCTCACCCAGCAACACTCATGCTAAAATCTTTCTGATGGACAAATTTTTGCAAAATTTCTCCCCCCAAATGTTACTGCGCTAATCCAACCCATGGAACAAGGAATCATTGCAACAATGAAGAGAACATACGGAACCGAAGCTGCTAATGACCAGAAAATCGAAGAAGGTTATGATCTGAAAGAGTTTTTGGAAACACTACACAATCTTGGACAGCATCTATCCTGCATATTGCATCTGCATGGGACTCAGTGAAACAGTTAACCCTCATAAAATCATGGAGAAAACTCATGCCTAATGTTGAAGCCAACAACAACCTAACCCCTTTGAGTTGTGAAGAAGAGAATGAAGATGTAGACACGCCCACGGCAACTCTTCCCGATATGGTGAAAACAGTTCCGTGTGGTGAGAATGTCGATGCTGAAAACATTAACGAGTGATTGGAGTGTGACGTCAACGAACCTGGTTTCGAACGCTTGACAGATAACGAAATTGTGAAGAAAGCAAGGGGAGAGACCGAGAATGAAGGACAGCGAAGTGAAGGCGAAAGAAGAGCCCACTGTGCAAGATGCGGAAGACTCACGAAGCAGCTTTGCAACAAGTCGACGGACTGCTGAGCTGTTTGGAAGAACAAGACGACGCGGAGTTCGCCGAGAAACTTATGCTACGAAAAATGCAATCTCGGATCAAGAGAAAATGCTTCCAAAGCAAGAAGCAAACTCAAATGACTGATTTCTTCTAAAAGGTGTAGTTTTACAGTTACGCTTTTGTAATTACATAATACACTACAGTATTGAAACAGTACATATGTATTAATTTTTCTGTGTATCCTTGACGCCTCTCGCAAGTACACAAAGCACTTTTCTGTTTTCATTAACAAAATGCATTTTAGGTTAGTTTTGAGTGACATACTAAGATATTAAGCGTTGGTTAAACATTTTCTGCTGTTTATTTTACGTTTTATTGTATATAAAACGATTTTTCAAAGTCCTATACTCGTTTTTAGCTTTTTTTCGGATTATCCGGGATTTTTGTTATCCGCGGCGGCCGCGCCACGCAATTCCGCGGATAATCGGGAGTGTACTGTATATCCAACATGAGCCTTGACCCAGTGTAAATTTATATTATGTATATCAGCCAGAAGTTTGAAATCATTTTAAAATTGGTTTATTAATAATGCAGGTACTGTCTTACGATGCTACAGTTCCAGTGAAATATCCTTCGTATTATCTTGAAGTAGTTGAACTATCGGTATTCTAATACTTAACAGTGCCTCTCTGTTCTAATATTTTACAATGCCTTCAAGGGCACTTCTGGCACATTTGATAGCATGAGTACTGCGCTGCTAATCATTTACATGTCCTGCCATCATCTTTAGGCCATATTTGTTTATCTTGCAAAATTGTAATTAATAATTATATCTTTATTTTACGAACTTTCGCTCAACAAATTAATAACAGGAATTAATTAGTTTTCAAAGCAATCCTGCACGAATTTATATTCGAAAGAACGCGAAAATATTATTTTATCTCCCTAAGTTAAATTGTACGTTTGATTTAATAAATGAAGAAAGTGAATTTTTAGGTGGTTCATAAAAAATAACTTTTCGTGCATTGTAACACATCAAGGTGCTCAAATATATAGGAAGGAATAAAGAAATTTACAAGTTTTCTAACCGTTACAGATTAACGGTCAGCGATACGACGTTACTTACGATTGCGAGCCAAGGGACGAACTTCAGTTTTTCAATGATGTGGAAAAAATAGAAAACCAACAGTAAAAGAGTGACGGTGAGTCCCGTCGAAGCGACGAAGTTGAACCAGTTGCTGTTAGAACACCAACTGCACGATGATACCATGATGCAGATCATGCCTATAATGTTATTCACCTGGAAAGAGACGTAAGAGGCAAATAATAAATAGTAGTGTTTTTTTTATTTACATAATAGTAAGAGTTCATAAGAAATGTTTTAACACTATTTCTTTTGGAAATTATGAGAGCTATCACATTCTTAAGTTAGTTAATACACTGTTTTATTATTTGAACTATAATGACACGTTCACTTTTTAGCTTTCATCAGAAGGTAAATGAGATACATACATATAAGAACTGAGTTCTTTGGCAGCCACTCTGATTGTTGTGGAGACCAAGCTATTTTAATTAACAAGTAGTTCCCCAAAACGTGAATTAGTAACCAATTCTGTTAAGTAGCTCCATTTTTACCGAGTTTCTCTTTCATTAAAAAATATTATTCCGTTTTTCTATGCATTAAATTTCAAAGATCTGAAGATATATGTTGATAAAATACAAATAAAGTCTTTATAAAAAATATAAAGTAAAACGCAAAGTAAAGATAAATTCTTCTAAATAAAGCCCTGAGAAAAGGTAGATTATGAGACCGTATGAAAGAGACAGTTACGTAATCATAATGATACAGAGGGTGTTCACACATTTTTGTAACGATTTTGACTTTTAATAAAATTTAGTTATCGTCTCCACCATTAAACATTTTCTTTTCTTTAAAACGTCGCTGAAAAATAAACAGTGGATCGAAAGCTATATAGCTATATTTTTGAGCTGTCCGAAGAGAAATACTCTTATTCAACTATTATAAAAAGATGTGAAAAGAATAGTTTTTAATATTTCTACACGTAAAATAAGTGAAATAATTAATATGAAAGAAAAAAAAAGCATTAACATTTACATCTGACTGGGAAAAGGCAGAACATGCATACCCAACAAACGTCCGCCCAGCTCTTATAAATCTGAAGTCGCATCTCATGTTTTAAAGTAAAATCTGGCCCTCCAAAGAGGTATTGCGAAATCTTTAAATATCTCTGTAGGAACTGTGAAAAAAGTTATAAAATCTGATTAAAAGCTAATCAAAACAAAAAAACACATGATGTTCATCGCCTAACACCGAAACATGATTCTCCATGTAAGACTATGTGAAGATTGCTGTATGAAAATTATTTGTCAGGTGAGAAATGGAAATATATTATTACAATTGATGAAGCTTGGATATACTTATCTCATTGCAATAAAAAAAAACATCGATTTACTACCGAAAGACAGGAGAAAAGACTTAATATGTATGTTCAGAGAAAACAAGGAAAATTTTTCTAACGATTTTATGGTTATTGCTGGATTCTCTTATAACGGAAAACTTAATGAAAGTAGAAAAAAATGTCAAAATTAATTCGGATTACTATCAGAAATAATCAGAAATGTCTTAACACCTATTTTTAAGGAACAAATTCCATCTCTTTATCCAAACAATCTTCACTGTGTCCAGTTCCTGTTGGCACTTCATCAGGATAAGGATCAGTTCATTCTTATCCTGATGAAGTTCCATCAGGATAAGGCTTTAAGTCATATTTCTAAATCTACTGCTCTATTTTTTTTTTGAAAAAATGAGAAATGAAACCGGAATTGAAGCTATTCCCTTAAATGCATCCCACTCAAGTCCTCTGATGTGTCTCCTATGGATTTTAAAAATAAGTTCTTTATATAATCTGCATCCCTAAACACTGGATAGACTCTGGAAGATTGTGAAGGAGGAGTGGAATAAAATCAACCTTAATGTTTTAAGAAAAGGAGAATAATCTTGGAAATCAAGATGTAATATGATAGTTTAACAAAAGGGCTATCATACTGAATGTATTAGAGAATAAAATTCTAGGGTTTCTTTGTATATAAATCTTGGAGAACTCGTTACAAAAATGTGTAAACAACCTCTATATATGAAGATAATTAATCAGAAGATAAGTCTTAAAAAATTCTGTCCCAACGTAATATATGGCTTAAGTATTAAAATATATTGAATTATTTGCAATAATACTTCAAAGGTTCATAGTTATCAGTTTGATATATTGTAAATTAAATGTACTGTAAATCACACAACTTATGCTATTAAAAAATGAAATAGCATTTAAATTATTACAAATATTACAAATTATTACAAATTCCAAATTATTCTCCTTTTCTTAAAACATTAAGGTTGATTTTATTCCACTCCTCCTTCACAATCTTCCAGAGTCTATCCAGTGTTTAGGGATGCAGCTTATATAAAGAGCTTATTTTTAAAATCCATAGGAGACACATCAGAGGACTTGAGTGGGATGCATTTAAGGGAATAGCTTCAATTCCGGTTTCATTTCTCATTTTTTCAAAAAAAAAAAAAAAAATAGAGCAGTAGAATTAGAAATATGACTTAAAGCCTTCATCAGGATAAGAATGAACTGATCCTTATCCTGATGAAGTGCCAACAGGAACTTGACACAGTGAAGATTGTTTGGATAAAGAGATGGAATTTGTTCCTTAAAAATAGGTGTTAAAACATTTCTGATTATTTCTGATAGTAATCCGAATTAATTTTGACATTTTTTTCTACTTTCATTAACTTTTCCGTTATAAGAGAATCCAGCAATAACCATAAAATCGTTAGAAAAATTTTCCTTGTTTTCTCTGAACCTACATATTAAGTCTTTTCTCCTGTCTTTCGGTAGTAAATCGATGTTTTTTTTTATTGCAATGAGATAAGTATATCCAAGCTTCATCAATTGTAATAATATATTTCCATTTCTCACCTGACAAATAATTTTCATTTTTCAGTTTCTTAAGCAGCTATAACTTGAAAAATAAAGACCTTTTGAATGAACAGAAATTGGACATATATACAGTCTATATTTTGAAAAGTTTTGTTTATTTATTCATTTTTTGTAAATAAATAAATAAGCGCAGTATAAATACAGTCATCTATTTCCATTTAATGCTTATAGGCTATGGTAATTATAAAAAATTATGTGACCAATCTATATGATAAGTTCAGCTAAATTAATTCAAAGGTACTCTAAATAAATGAACAACACGCTTAATTTTGTTTGTTCTAGAAAGAACAAACAACTGATTCAAAGAACTGAAATTGGATATTTCGAGTCCAAATAACAAAAATTATAGTGTATTACAATCTCCCGTTCTATCGGAACGGTTGGCGAAATTTAAGTTGCGTTTTTCTTGTCTCGAAAACGCATATTTCTGATTTATATATAACATTGTTCTAACATAAGTGTTCTGACGCAAAATCGAACTTTTCTGAAATAATATATCCTTTTTCTTCTTTTCCCCTTTGACATTTTGATTCTACGACTCAAATTATGTCAAAGTGCTAAATGTTGTAAAAATCACACAAGTAGTTTTTTGAAAAAATTACATCTCAAAATTTTAGCTCCTCAGTGTTAACTGAAATTTGCTACATATTTATTAATACCTCTACTTTTTATTAAACTTACGTGATTCTTCCTTTCACAGCCGGAAATTTAGGTTCAATCCAAATAAAAATTCGGGCCCACCAGCGATCGAGCGGTTAAGTCGCTGAACACTGGTAGTTCGGTCCGAAGGTCGAATCCCTCGAACGGGCTGGCTGCATGGGTGTTTTCGTGGTTTTCCCCATGTGTAACGTGTATACGAGCCAGTTTTCCTTAGAAAGTCCTCCACGAAGGCATCCCTTCCCTCAGGCAGATAGCCCAGTGTGCTTTGCCATAATTAAATACAGCAACACCAAATAAAATTCGCAGATATTTTTTGGTTTATTTTAAAAATTTTTATTTTTTTACCGATTTTTATAAATGTTTCGGAAAAATCTCCAGATATTTGCACGTAACAGGAAGTAGTTTTACGTCACTGTGTTGCAGCTGCTCTGACTTCGCATGTTTAAAACTGTAGTTCTATTCTACTGCGTTCTAGCTATGTGGACATAGCAAATTAATTGAAATCCCAAACGTTGTTTTCCAGTAGCAGCGTCAAACTGGCAGCCTTCCAAGTAGTTTTATGGTGTCTGCGAATACACTTCCCGTAAATTAATTAGTATTATTATGACAAGAACTTGAAGAGAACGTTTAAAATTTTAATGGTTTGAAGTTATTTTCATTCTTAAAAATGAAAGTAACTCTTCGGAAAATCTAGAAATGGAGCTAATTAATTTACACTGTGATAAAAACCTTGTTCAAAGATTTTAAGATACAAATTTGATTAACTTTTATTAGTACTTGTTAAAAGGTAAATATCTTAAGTTACGATTTTTTTGCAATAAGAATACTGGCTTTGGGTTTGAGTATATATACATGAGCAACAGTTTTTCTTTCGTAGTTGAAAATTAGTAAGTTTACGAAAAGAACCGGCCTGCCAATGAATATCTACAATTTGTGATGATTCTTTTTAGTAATTTCCTTCTAAGATCACAATCTTCATGAAAACAGAAACGTCATAAAGTATTGCAGCTGATAAGAGTAGTAAAAAAACAAAAATGTTTACACTAATTTACAAATGTGTTTTTTTTTTTTTCCTGTTTTGCATCATAGAAAAATCTAATAAATAAAAGAAAGAGAATAGGTTATTATTACTGATTATCAAGTTCTGTCCCTCTTGGGAAGCTTTCGTATATTTCTTTTTAATTTAAATTAAAAGTATGTTATTTATTAGCTCAACATATATTTCAATTAGCTGAATAAATACCAATCTGAAAATTTTAATATTTAGCTGTCTATTTGAGTTCTAAATTCTGACCAACAGAAATTCCTTGCAGATACCAACTTTTAGATTTCAGGCAAAATATAAATGAAATTTTATATTTTTCTTTGCTTTTTTTATTCGTATGTTATTATAAATATAGACTAAAACGTTCATAATTTAATTAACAAATTTTATTAAAAAAATTTCGGCTCTTTTTTTATTATTACCGCCCGTTAGATACTTTCAAATTGTGCACTGGCCTGTGTGCATTGTAGGTTTTAGACCACTGTTGTAAAGTGTCGTTTATGTAATATGTCTTCTTGCGTTGTAGCAAAAATTCATGGAAATGAGAAAGATAGGGGTATTATATTTCATACT